ACGGAATGTAAGATTACAAGTGAGAATAAAAGATTACCAGAGAATAGGATTACTGGGAATGTTGTATTTTGTGTTTGGTTGGTTTAGCAGGAATGTAAGATTACCGTGTTGGTTAAAGGAATAAAAGATTATTGAAATGTATATTTGACCAAATTGTCCTTATTATATATTTGTTTTTTTAACAAGTTATAAAATATTTATATATTTTCTTTAAAAAAATTAAATTCATAAAATTTATATAATTTTTTTACAAAATTGAAAATATAAAAAGGTTTAATGAAAGGGTAAAATTTTATTTTAACCCATGAACTTCATATAAAAGTTTAATTATAGATTTTTTTTTGTAAATCTAAAATAGTTTAAGGATAAATATGTAATTTAACCTTCGTAGAATTTTTATTATTTAAGACAAAATAAGGATATTTTTAAAAGAATTTTTTTTAATGGCATTTTAGTCCAAAACGCCGGTAATCCAACAATACCTAAGGAAAGAGAGGTAATGACATTCCTAATAATATATTCAAAAAATTCACTATTGGTAATGTAAGATTACCGGGAATGACATTCCCGGCCAACCAAACGGGAGAATGTGGATTCCATTCCCATAAGAATCTCACATTTCCCCAACCAAACACACCCTAAAGGAAGATGACCTTTTCAAGACCTCTCTAGCTCTGTATAACATTATTATGATGATGGGATTACTGCATTGGTTAGTATTAATGAAATTATCAAGCTTTTTCTTTTCCATTTTAATTTAAGCAGACTCGAAAAACGATCGCATTACCGTTCAATATTTATCAAGTTCTGCATTCAGGTTAGTAGCTCAATTTCCTGCACCATTAGCTTAGTTAAATGATATTGTTTCTGCAATCTGTGAATTGGCTTATGTTTTTTCACCTGACATTGATGTTTCAAAAATACACTTCATGAAATGAAACTGCTACTGCCTGGGAAATAAAGTGTAGTAACTTCTATCAAGCACCCAAGGTTTCTTTTGCTATTGCTATTGCTATTGCCTATTAGTTTGGCTGTTACTTGATAGTGTTGATGGGAAATCAATCAATCAAAATGCATCCTTGCAGAGCCTTATTTTTTTAGATCTTTTCCAGTTGCTAATAATGTGGATATGATTTCTAGCTTACCCTTTGCAATGGCTGGTGAAATAGCTTATGCCCTCCCCAGCAGGAAGGCATTATTAAATGAAAAACCCTCATCAATTTTTTTTAAAAACAATCCTCGTGTCATATTAGTTAGAAAAATAACTCTTAAACTATCTACGTACGATATCTCACGGTCTGCAAAAAGCGAGGTCAAACATTACGTTTTACGAAAAACGAGTTTCATGCATTTATTATTATCTTTATCAAATATTAAATGACTTTCTTTGAAAAAATTGATGGGTCTCGCGCCCTATAAAATACGAGGTTCATTAAACATGTTTTATAGGACGCGAAATAGATACACGTGAACTGTTTGAGGGTTATTTTTCTAATTAATCTTACGCGGGTTGTTTTCCAAAAGAAAATAATGAGGGTTTTTCATTTAATAATTCCCAGCAGGAGAGTAAAATTTAGACTATTTCTTAGGGGTTTTGGACTATTTTAAACCTTGTAAACAAAGAAAGAGTCATGGATTTCAAGTTCGAAGCTCACTTTATGTAAACTATGTGCGAGTTATCTGCAAATTATATTTTGGTTTAATTCTTATCGAAATAGGGATCATACTTGTAATGATTGATTCTAATAGTAGCTCTTGGGATATACATTGATTTAACTGCACTTATAAATATACTTTTAAAAAGTGAAAAGTAGGGAACTGAAATTTGTAAGATCAGTAAACCCTTCATCCAATCACAGTTCAACAACACAAATTTATATCGGTAACCATCACTTGGAGATATGGGTTTCACAACATATTTTGATCCGTGGTTGATAATTATTACACTGAAATAATTAAGAGTGATATGCTACCTATGAAAGTTACTTTTTTTCCTTTTGTTTTTTGACTCTCCGTTTTGAGTAGAGACCAAAGTGCTAAATAAGTCTTTTTGGTTTGAAGTTTTGAAGAATGAAACCTCTGTCCTTTTTCACTCCACTTCGATTATATGCAAGAAAGGGTTTGACATGCTTTTGCTTTTGAAGTTTTTACAAACTTTCTTTCACGTCTTTTAACTTTGATCCTTCACTTTCTTATGTTGTACTGTAGTAGTATATTTGTCAATAGAATGGCACAATCAGAGTCCCACCTACCCACTGTAGGTTGCAGGCTTGAAAATCTAATAAAAGTGCTTGGTAAGGAAACTTGATTCCTCCTTTCCCCATGTTTCTCGGTTGATGACTCCCACTTTCATGCATACATGCGTACACATAGACACACACGTTTGAATCTGCTTAATAAGTAACCATGTCCCTTAAACAAAGCATTGAGTATCGAGTTTTGTAGATGAAAAAAACAGCTTTGAGAGAGCTTGACTCAAGAAACAGAATCCAACACAACACAAACCCGGAATTATTTGGAGCCCTTTAGGATACTCTCAGAACAAAAAAGATGTTTCAAATTCTATAAGGTTTTGTATTCATCTATATTGTCTTAGTACTAGTTTTCTTTGGTATTCATCTATATTGTCTTAGTACTAGTTTTCTTTCTGAAACATAGAAATCCTACTTTCATTGGCATGCAAGGCAGTGAATTGTGGATTTGGCAACAAAAAAAAAAGGGGTTAATCTTATTTTACATGTTTTTGTTGTTGAACAATACCCTACACCATAAAGGTAAGAAATGATGAAACCCAGCTTAAAAAGTTGAAAAGTTGATTAGTCCACAGAGAAGATTACTCACCTAATACTAAATTGTCTTTCCCCTTTATTAGATGAAATGATGTGATCTGGGTAAATTGGACCGGTCAACAAGGATCACCTTTAATTCAAGCATTACTCAAACTGGATTCAGCCCTAGGTTGAACTTTTAATTACTATAGTATACCATGGAAATAGTGTTGCGACATTTTGATGTAAGTTTTTAATTGTCTATTGATTTGTTGGCTGAAAACTCATGTTTTTGTTCGGCCAAATTGGTTTAAGCAGAGCCAGAGAAAGCTGTCAATGAAGGGCTCAGTTAAGGATAGGAGTTCCCTGCCTATGCCTGGACCGTTGGGTGCTTGAGATGGGTACACAATTAATAACCATTGTCTTTCTGGCAAATGCATTGGCAAACAAGGCTAAAACACTGGGTTTTTAGACTAGGGACAAGTTCCATTACCATGCTCCAAGATAACATGGCATGCTATGCTACAACTCTACAACCATGGTCATGGATGATTCCCCAAGTCAACTTGTACAATTTAATATCGAGCTAATTAAACAGGATCAAAACATTAAGAAAAACTTCAAAAATATAACCCCATTGAATAAATTATTTGGTACAAAAAACCCTCGTTTTTTAAGCTACAAACATACAATTAAACGGCTACCAGTTTAAGGAGAGAGAAAAAGGATTCAGCCTATTTCTTAAGTCCTCTCTAACCTTCACAAAAGCCAAATCTTGTTACCATCACATTGCTTGTGTAGTAAGTAAAAGAATCCTGTTGTTGGTTATATTCATATAAATTAGGAATTATTTTAACACCTGAATAAAATCTTACCGTATCTTTTGCTTCTCTTGTGAGCATCCAAAGCTTAATAGTACAGATTACATGTCTGTTTTTTTAGTTATTAGATGATATAAATATGATATAATGCTGAATTCGAAGAAGAAAATATTAATAGGATACATGGAACACACTCGTAATCTTTGGCATTAGTAATAACAAGAAGGACCAAACTCTAGAGATGTCCATAATATTCAGATGGTGTTATGTATCTGTAAAGAGGGATCAAACCCGAGATTAGATGCATAAAGCTTCACTTAAAAAGCAATAGCTTTGATGGTTGAGTGGTAGCCTCAATTCTTACCAGATGTAATGTTAATGGAAGAAATGAAGTTTATAAAAGCCAATGTTTTTCAAGAAAAAAAAAATGTATGATAAAAAGTCCCAAGAAGTAACCGGGAATAGCAGGTACCAACATGTTACTAAATGAGAATACTGTTAATAAAAGGTCAATCTTTTCTTTTCTCTCTCTTCCACGCTTTTGCTTCTTTTCTTCACTTCAGTCTCTGAATTATAGATAATTCTAATGTAGAGTATACATCCAATTCTCATTGATCGAACCCCTTTTTTGTTGTTTCTCTTTGAGTTTCTGATCGAATTTTCTGGGTCACTATCCCTCATTTTCTCGGGAAAAAGGAAAGAGGAAGAAAGTATGGAATTGGCAGCAAATGTGTCAGCTTTTTTCGTAGACGAGTGACTGAAACAACACATTCAGAAATAAAATACTACAAATTCTTTTGAGATAATTGAAATGAGAAGCTCTTTCTCTCTCGTTTTTCACAATGCAGAATGGAATCTCTGTTTTATCGAGGTTCAATTTGAATTCTTTGTGTTTTTTTCTTACCTTTAAAGTCTGAACCTTTAGCTCCTGCTTCTTAAAATTGATCTCATTTTTGGTTTTTGTGTTGACTTTAGGGCTTTCTAGCTGGTTTTTGAAGACTTTGAAGGTAAACGAAATGTGGGTTTGGCGTGGTAATGAGAGATAGCTCTGTGGGTTTTTGAGGATTTGAGTTTAGCTTAGAGTGGGTGATGGAATTGTAAATTGGGGGAAGTTTTATAGGGGTGAAAATGGCGAAAAGCTGAGATCTGTTTTGGAAGCTGTTAAGAGAATCGTTGATGATTGTGTGTACTGTAAGTTCAAAATATCTATGCAATTGTGTTAAAAGTGGTTTAAGCTTTGGGTTAACGAGGAATGTGATAATTTACTGATTTCATTAGTGAGTTTTGATAATTTTGAGGGTTGTTTAGGCAATGCTGAGAATTGGACTGAACTAAAGAGCTGAAAAAGTGGGAGCTTCTGTTTGCTTTGAGGTTTATAAAAAGCTTATATCTCTAAAATTAGTGTTTTTCATAGATTTCTTAGACCATGTCTGGTGCTCCGAGATTGAGGTCCATGAATACGGCTGATTCCGAGCCAAGGCCCGTACTGGGACCTGCTGGGAACAAGGCAGGCACATTGAGTTCAAGAAAACCAACTTCAAAGCCATTAAGAAAGATTGAAAAGTGTCCAGCTGAGGCCACTTTAGCAGAGGAGAAAAATGGCCTTCCTTCGCCTAAAGTTAATTCTCTTTCCCCAAAATCCCATTCTGTTAGTGTCCCTTCAGTGCTAGGCCGCCACGAACAGTTATTACATTCTAATTTTTCACTAAATGCCTCGTGTTCCTCCGATGCTTCCACGGATTCATTTCACAGTCGAGCATCTACCTATGGTAGGTTAATTCGGTCAAATAGTGACAGAACTAGGAGGAAGCCGTACTTGTCAAGTCCAAGGAGTGTTGTTTCTGATGGTGGCTTGGATTCGCCGCCCGATGGTTCACATCAGAGGAAGAGATGTGCTTGGGTGACACCAAATACAGGTTTGTTGTTGTGGCCTCTAAGGCTCTAATTCCTCACTGTGTCACGATTGATTTCTATGTTGTGTTTAACATTTTCTTCCGGTTTCCCCAAGTATTAGGGTAGAGAAAATTCCCTGCACGAAGAACATCTTCTGTATTGTTTATACCTTTTCTAGCCCTTCTATCCCAAAATTGTAGCATTAGGTTAGCTTCGATTAATACGGTCACATCTACGACGAAGGATCAGCATCTAGCCAAATGAACCAACCAGGGTGGTAACTTCCATTATGATCGCCAAACTTTATTGTTTTTGTCGGACTTTATGATTTAATCGAGCAATAGGTTAAATTGCCTTGGAATTTATCTTTCCGACTTCATCTACAATCTGTTTACTCGATATCATTACGTTTGAGACAGTTGTTACCGAGTACATGATATGGCATTAATATCATAAATGCAAATTGGTTATGCATTCATATGTTCAAGCATCATATTCAAAAATGAAAGAATGTCAGATCCAATGCTTTAATTTGCTCTTATTTCATGTTTTTATTGACATAGTTTTGTTTGTTGGGATCAGATCCGATCTATGTTGCTTTCCATGATGAAGAGTGGGGAGTTCCGGTACATGATGACAAGTATGTGATCTCGATATTATTGCCTGCATCTGGTTGTCGTTGATTAAATGATTACGTCTGATGAAAAAGAAGCATTTCATTGAACGCTAGTTTGCTTGAAATTATTGCTCATATGCAGGAAATTGTTTGAGCTGCTTGTACTTGCGGGTGCATTGTCTGAACTTACATGGCCGGCTATCCTAAGCAAAAGACGCATCTTTAGGTAATTTTTTCCACACAGAAATTCGATCTTACTTCAGTTGAATAACCAAACTCGTTCTGAAAGTGTATCTCTTATGCAGGGAAAGTTTTGCGGATTTTGATCCCATTGCCGTATCGAAACTGAATGAAAAGAAGTTAATAGCACCTGGTAGTATGGCAAGTTCCTTGTTATCGGAACTAAAGCTGCGTGGTATCGTCGAGAACGCACGCCAAATGTCCAAGGTAGATAAATTATCGTTCTTATTTGCTCCATTTTTTAACCTTGGTAACAACTCAGCATGAAAATAGTGCTCCAAAATCACTTGTTAGCAGCACTTGCACATAACAGTATAATTCACAATTTGATCATGTATATTTATGTTATGGATTTATTTATGTACAATTCCAGGACAGCTTTTTCGTTTAATTATTCCTATCTATTAGATGCCAGCTTGATTAGCTGGCAAAATCGCAAGTCATCACTCTCCATCATGAACCGGTAGCCCTCCTTTGCTCAAGTAAAAGTACCATAATTGCACTGTCCATAGTGGCTATGATTATCAACACAACTAACTTTTTGCGGGTTTTGATAATGTCAGGTTATAGATGAGTTCGGGTCATTCGACAAGTATATCTGGAGCTTTGTTAACCACAAGCCTATCGTTAACAGATTCAGATATCCTCGTCAGGTCCCGGTTAAAACTCCGAAAGCAGATGTCATAAGCAAAGATTTGGTAAGAAGGGGTTTTCGAAGTGTGGGGCCAACAGTCATCTACTCTTTCATGCAAGTCGCCGGAATAACAAACGACCATCTCACGAGTTGTTTCAGATTCCAGGACTGTATAAACACAGTGGATGGAAAAGAAGCAACTAGGACCAAAGATATGCCCGAAGAGGAAAAATCAGATAACATGATTGAATCAGAATTATCCATAGCTATCGATGAATTTTCTCTTAAGAATGATATTGGCACGCTCCAGGTTCGATCATCAGTTCTACCACATTGACTGATTCACTGCTCTTTTGTGTAGTAACTATGGTGGTTTTGTGTATAAAGTTTCATGAACAACTATGCATACTGAATTTTCTAGATTGTAGATCTAAAGTAAACTAAATTTAACTGATGAATGTGCTGCTTGATGGGGCCTCTGTCGTGGAAGTCTTAAAATATTTACAATTTTCTTGTCCCTTGTATAGTTAGAAAGCTTGGTAATTAGAGATGAACCCCAACAGCAGAAAACCAGATTCGCCACCGGATCTGTCCCTATCAGATTCTTGACTATATGCTAATAAGTGGGGATTGATCGAGTGTGGATCGATTTTATTTGTTAACCCTGTAAGTTGTTGGGACAGCTAAACCTACACATACAACTCCCGTTTGCTTTAATGGATGCAATAATGGTTAGTGGCAAAATGATAGTACGTCCTAGAAGGACCTTGTGGAAGGACCCCATCCAAAAGGGCATGCGTCTATTGTACCCAATATCACTAATGATGTAGGGTCCCTCTGTTTCCTACTGTTATTGACATTATAATGTCTTGATGGATGTTTTGTCTGAAAATGGCTAGAATACTTCCAAACTCTACCTATTTACTCCTATTATGCTTTGCACTAGATCTGATTGGTAACCACTAATTTTTTTCTTGCAAACATAAAGCCTTGTAAAGGGATTTGCATTGGCTAATGCCTAATATCAATTCTCATCTCATCAAGCCATACATATCTAAACTTTGGGTCAAAGCCACAAAAAGGCAGACAGATTTTTTTCAGTGTATTGTTTTTAATTATATCATATATGCATAGCTAAGCTCTTAAATGCTGTAGTTGTAACCCTTTAACCCAACAATATGCATGCCTAAGCTAAGCTCTTAAATTCCAACTCATGTAACATAAAAGAAAAGGAGAAATTGAAACATGGTTCCAACTAAGGAGACAAGAAAGGGATAAAATCTATATTGTTTCCACAACTATAATAACCTTGTTCCTAGCTCCTACTAGATTGAGAGGGGATACAACAGAAAGCATACAGCAATGCTTAAGGAAAACTAGAAATAAGAAAATCAAACCTGACCATTCAGTATTTATACAGACATGCCAGATATTAACAACACAAAAGCTCCTTTGAGTTCAGCATGGCTTTATTTCAAATCCAAAACTCAGAAGTGTTCGAGCTGATTCGATTGCCTTCTCACCTCCTAGATCTAGGGCCTCACCAGTTAATTCACCTTCTGTACCTACTGACCACTGGGTTGATGTAACTTGGCTTTGCCCTTCATCAGTTTTTTTGAGTTGTAAGTTGTTCATAGAAGCAGGTGCAGCAGCGGCAACAAGAGGAGCATTTGGTTGGCCATGTCGCTTCTTGGGTACAGGCATGTCATGATCATGAACACCTTTGTATGTTATAATGACAGCATTTTTATTATCTACAGCTGTCTCAATATGCTTACGTACAGGACACCCGGCAGAAGTGCATCTATAGTAGTTCCTAGAAAACATTCATCACTTAAAAAATAAGAATATATCCAATAGAATGCATACAGACTCAAGTAAATTGGCACATAACAATCGAGTTAAAGAATGAACTTGGAAGGATCAAATTGGTCAAACAGAGAATTAACAAAATAAAAAGAGCAGAATAAATGCAGGCTCTTGAACAATAGCCTAAGAGAATATTTCTCATTGGTTTGGAACAGTTACAGATGCGGCACTGTCAAAAATTGGTAAAGGGATAGTCGTTCTCCCTAGAGATCCTGGGTTTGAGTAGCTACATTTGCAAGGTGTGTGCATGTTATTAATTGGTTAAGAAAATTACCACCTTGTAATCACCCAGACTATTCAACAAAAATTGTTAAACAAATGAACCAGACATCTTTGCAAATCACTGTAAAAAGTCGTTGAGAGCAAAAGCAAGGACAAAGGCCACTGGAGCTTTTTAGTATAAATTCCAAAAAACCTCTATGATACAAATGAATGATTTTTCTAATATTTCAATAAAACAAAGACATGTAAACATTGAGGGTCGGGTCACATACCACAAAGAAGCAAGCTACCATAACATAAAAATTACAATGGAGACAAGGCTAAGTAGTCATAAGGATGGGGTAATGGTTTAAATGGATAATAAGAAAAAAAATGAGAAGTGAACAGGCACCTGGGATTAGAATTTCCTTTCACCATTTTCTGGCCATATTTTCGCCATCTGTATCCATCACCTGAAATCCCTACATCACTAACTGCATGGACAACAAACTTAGGTTTCTTCCAAGTTTTTAGGACAGAATCAGAACAAACGGTATTGCTTTTCTTCATCCTGATTATCAAAGAGAATAAGAAACTATTAAAACGAGACTCGCGGACTGGATGCATGTACACATACGTATCTATATCATGAAGCAAAAGAAAACAAAGGCAAAGAGAAGCTTACAGGAATGCTTCCCGTTTTTTTAGCTCAGGTTCACTATTAAGCTCTTCCTTCACTTGCACATTGTCATTTCCATCAGAGCCACTTGAACATGGTCTTTTTCTTTCAGGATTCACAGTTGTTTCTGGTACAGATTCTTTAGAGGATGTGAATGGATCAGAATCGTTAAGTACTTTGATGGGCTGGGCTGTAACAATATTGTGTGAAGCATGTACACTGGAGGATACTTTCTTACTTTCCCTATGCGGGTTATTTTTCCGTGGCAGTTCATGACTATGCATGCCTTTATTAACAATCTCTATTACATGGCCAGTGTCATCCGAGCATTCTATCTTTTTGGCCTGACAATCAGAGAATGTGCATTTGTAATAACTTCGATAACCTTTAGGACTTTTCACTTGCTTCTGACCATATTTCCTCCAATTGTAACCATCAGATGCAGGTCTCTTCACAATGGGAACAACAGATACCATTTTAAGATTATAAGATTTTTGCTGGTTTGCTTCTGGCGCAGATGCACCATTAACTTTCTGATCTGAAAGGCTTTGTTCTTGTAGAGGTGGAGTGAGAGCAGATGATATACCTTGTGTAACAGAAGTTGGTGATAGTTGTGCCAAAGAAGTTGGAGAAACAAATGATTGAAGCTGATTTTGTGTAGAACCTTCAGCACTCTGGATGGCCAAAGTAGTGGAACCTTCCCGGTGGGCTGTGACAACTTTCTCCTAAGAAATTAAACCAAGATGAACTCCATTAAAAGAACAATTCAATCACAGACAAATTTAAGTGTACATGCCCTTTTCTCATTTCAGGCATTTTCATAATTTGTTCTATCTGAGAGGAACTCAAATGGTAAGACAAGCAGATTCGAGAAAAATTTAAGTCCATATAGATCTTCGGACATCACTGCACTTGTTTTGAAGAACTGATTCAATGATCTAACTAGAAGAAGAAGACGAAGAACATAAATAATGACTAAAAGAGTAAAAATCAACAGAATTTGAAGTTATAACTTATAAGTGCCAGAGCTCTGGCAAGGATTATCAAATGTTCGCAGGAAATGATTCTGCGTCCTCTTCCCATTTGCCACTGGCTTTATACTTTTGGCCTCCGTTTTTACATTTAAAGTTAAATTCAATCCTTGTGTTCACAATCAATAACCTACAAGTTTCCAATAAATTTCCATTAGTAAATTCTATTGGATTCAAGATGACAACTTTTAACAACGAAAGAACAGACTTCATATGAGGTCCTACTGCATCCTATAATTCAACTATACAGAACCTATAGGGGTGTATTAGCTGGCTACTTGTGCAAGCTAAGATAATCAACAAACATTAAGAAAAAATTTAATCCTTAACTAAAAGTCATTATTAAAAGCTAACCTTAAATTCAGCTCCTTCCTTTGGTTCCGAGTTAGATTTCACCGGTAACCCTGAGAGATCACCATATACTCCCTCATTACAATGCAAACATTTTTATTAGAACTAAAAAGGAGCTTGCTTTATTGAGAATTAGGAAAAATAATATTTTTCCCATAAAACACACTTAAAAAGGATCTCACCCTCAGAACGATCATCATTCGCCAGAGTTTTCAATTGAAAATCTCTCAATCCAGTATCACTCGAAAGCGCTGTTCCAGCACCGTCTGACTCAGTGACTCGACTCACTCCTTTTTCCTCTTCGTCCTCCAACTCTTCCTCTTCTTCTCCATCGCCCTCTCCTTGAAAATCGTCGTTTTGGTGTTCCTCGTGTCGTTTCGTGTGAGGTGCTCGGCTCTCAGTCTCGGCCATGCCCGATTTTTCCTCGGCGAAAAAGAGTAAAGTAAGCAAACAGTTCGTAATCTTTTTGTTCTATTTTTGTTTAAAGATTATTAAATTACGTGTCAACTTATTAATTTATTGTAATTGTTCTATAGAAATGTATAGATTTTTTTAATTATTAAAATAATTTATTAAAGCAATATTTACCAATGGAAAACCTAGCGCCGCAGGAGGATCGCCTACCAAAGAAGGCACGCAGACTTGACGAAGAGCCACCGGATGCAGGCGGCACTTCTCCCAACCATATGGATATCGAGGCGATCAGCAAAACTGCCCTAGAAACTTCGCCTGGCCCAACATCCTATCGTGATACTCTGCTCAAAGATAATCACACGGATCCTTCGATTGAAGAAGAAATAATGGATGAGGAAGATGTCGAAGTCTTTGAAGACGATGTCGTTCGTGGTGTCGTTGAAGGTTTAATATCCATTGATTTCTCCGACCGAGTCCAAGCCATGGCCAATAAGAGTTTCGATCAGACTGTGGTGGTGAAGCTACTTGGGAGGCGTATTTGCTACAGAACCCTTCGGAATAAATTGTATGATCTATGGAAACCATCTCAACCCTTTCGCCTCATGGACATAGAGAACGATTACTTCCTTGTTTCGTTGCGAACGCGATCAGATTTCTTAACAGCCCTCTCCGATGGTACATGGACAATCTTCAGACATTATTTGATTGTTGAACCGTGGTCGTCTGACTTTTCCTCTTCACAGCTATTTCCTCGTCGAATTGTGGCATGGATCCGACTCTCGAGATTACCGGTAACTCTTTATAAACGTAGTCTCATCACTGAAATTGGCGAATGCACTGGGAAGGTTGTTAAAATCGACTACCAAACAGAAACGGAGCGTCGAGGACGCTTTGCGCGAATGGTGCTGAGCGTGGATCTGGGAAAACGCTAACCTCGAAGCTCTTAA